AGCCTGGCTTTTGATACCCTGTGAATAAATGTGGAACTTTGCTCCATGATTGGCTGTTGAATATGACTCATGCCTGGAATCAAACAGAGCTAAGGGAGTTTTTCTCCTTTTATGGCTTATGTCAGATCAGTCTGTGCCCTTGAAGGGATGGTGTTGATATCATTGGAACCATTTCCCTCCCTTTTTTTTTTTTTGTAACAAATTTCTATAATCAGGGCAGGTGAAGAGAGGAGGTTTTGTTGTTGCAATACTACACCTATTAATAGATTACTACTAAAACATTTTAGTTACTATAATAGGATGCAAGTATGAAAGATCTTACTATTTTTAATCTGTGTTTGTGGTTAACTCCATATCCTATGCAACTAAGTAAGTGAGTTTTAAAGCTTGCCATGCCATTGCTAATAGTTATATATTCACGTATCAGATTAAGCCTTTGAAGTATCTCAATCTTTCAGGATGAGATGAGGACATACATATATGCATACATACATATATACATACATATATCCTAAAAAAATAGGGATAAGATAAATGTAAAAGTATTTTTAAAATTTAATGGAGTAGTAAGTTGTAACATTACTCTCTTTCCCTTCTGTGACTAAGAAGTGTTCATTGTTTGAGTCCACCTGCAAGATAGTGGCCCAGACTTCTTTGGATAGCAAACCAGACATCCTTAAAGGATAGGTTGGTGATGTAAAGATATTAGGCCCAGTTCTATTATAGCAAGCTGCATCTCCAACAGTTAGCAGAATTTCTTGAAGCAAGTATGAAAGAGTGATTAACAAGAGATTGGGATGTTCCATTTGAGGATAGAAGACCAATATAAAATAACTATGGTGCTGTACCATGAGTATGGTTAGTAACACAGGAGGGAATTATTGAAATTTGTGTTGAATGACCCCATTGTTTACAGTCTTGCTTGTCTGCTGGTATGTGTCATCTAGTCTGTCATCTAGTCTGGGGGAGGAGGCATTTGATCCTTTGATCCCATCCCCTTGTCCTTTGCATTACCTCTAGTCAGCAGTAGCCACCTGAGCTTTCCTTCTATCCCCTTTAATCTCATTTCCCTGTGATGAGTAATGTGAGAAGAGTGGAGACACAATGGCCTATCCCACTGTTGGAAATGCATACCTACCAGGGTTGTCTTGCTCTCATTACAAAAAGGTGTCCATGAGGGCAGTTTGAAATCATTGCCTGGCTGTATTCAATGCTTTTGCTATGGGTGCTATAATAAACTCCTTTAAATTTTCTGTTCTTGGGTTTGCTTCATTATTGAGGGCAAAGACCAAACAAAGATGTTCCTTTAACAGTACCATTCTGCATTGGCAGTTTCCTCATCTGAAGTTCCCTCTATCAGTGACCAAGGTGCAGTTCCTATTACTATGTCTATTATTACTTCATCTCCCTCTCACCATCTCAAAGCTGGAATTTTACAGTAACCAACTGAATTTGTTTACCTCTGATTTTTCCCCTCTTCTTCTTTCACTTCTTACTCAAAGCTGCACAAGCTACCACCAGATTAATGTTCCTCAAGAGCAACTCTGATTACATTACTCCAAAATTCAACTTTTCCTTATCCTTGGAGGCACCTACTCCTGGATCTCTCCCATAGGTACCTTTTCTCCTCTGATGCTGCCACTACCTTAGTGCAGGCCCTTATCACTTCACTCCTGGAAAACAGACTTTTAGTTAGTCTTCCTGCCTCAAGTCTCTCCCCACTCTAGCCCATCCTCCATTCAGCTACCAAATTAATCTTCCTAAAGCAAGTCTGACCATGTCACCTTCCCCCCACTCACCCCATTCAATAAATTCCGGTGGTTCCCTATCACCTGGAGGATCAAATAAAAAATCTTCTGTGTTCAAAATCCTTTATAATAGCCCCCCTCCCCCTGTCTAGTCTTCTTACATTTTACCCTCAACCAAATATTCTGCAATCTACTTGCACTCAAACTCCTAACTCTGGACTGTTCACTAGCTGTCCCCCATACCTGAAATATTATCCCTCTGAGCCTCTGAGGATGAGTTACAACAACGTATGGATTGACTCTCAGATGCTTGCGTTAATTTTGTCCTAACAATTAATACCAAGAAAACTGAAGTTCTCCACCAGCCAGCACCCCATCATCCATACATGGAACCACTGATTACAGCAAATGGAGAAATTTTGAATGTTGTGGATAAGTTCACTCACTTACCTCGGCAGTATACTTTTCAAGGATGTACACATTGATAACGAAGTTGACACATGCATTGCCAGAGCTAGCTCAGTGTTTGGGAGGCTCTGAAAGAATGTGTGGGAGAGACGAAGTAGTAGGCTGCCTACCGAACTGAAGCCATTGTGCTGACTTCATTGTTGTATGCCTGTGAAACCTGAAGAGTCTACCAGCACCATGCCAGGAAACTGAATCACTTCCATTTGAATTGTCTCAGGACAATCTGAAGATCACCTGGCAAGATAAGGTACTGGACACTGAGGTCCTTTTTCAAGCTGAACTGCCAAGCATTCAAACTCTCCTGCAGACAGTGCAACTCCAATGGGCTGGCCATTGTTGTTCAAATGGCAAAGATATATTTACCTAAAAGACTATTTTATGGAGAACTCACACAAGGTAAGCATTTTCACATGGTGTTCAGAGAAGCAGTACAAGGATGCTCCTAAGGTCTGTCTGATGAATTTTGGTATTGATTGTGAGACATGGGAGACACTGGCACAGGATTGTCCCACATGGTGTGCCTGCATCAAAGTTGTGCTCTATGAGCAAAGCAGAATTGCAGTAACTCAAAAGAAACATGAGATGCAAAGATTTAGAGACATCTCCCTCCCAAATGGTCATAGAGACTATTTGTGCCTGACCTGCTGTAGAGCCTTCTGAGCTCCTGTTGGTATGTTCAGCCACAGCAGGACACACTGTACACTGATCCTGAATGTGATTTTGGTCTTCTTTGAGCATGAAGGACAAACGATAAGAAGTGCTTAGTAAATGCTTGTTGACTTTTTACAAATAGATTTTTGTTGATAGCTTTTCCTTTTACATTGCCTAAATTTATCTCCAAATCACTCTCGATCCCTGCTCCTAGAAAATTATCCATTATAAATTTTTTTTTTTTGGTGAAGCAATTGGGGTTAAGTGACTTCCCAGAGTCATACAGCTAGTAAGTGTTATGTGTCTGAGGCCGTATTTGAACTCAGGTCCTCCTGACTCAAGTGCCAGTGCTCTATCCACTGCACCAGCTGCCCCATTATAACAATTTTTAAAAGAAAAAATAAGAGAGAAAAAAGTCAGCAAAATTAGTCAACACATTGAAAAAAATCTGATGATAGATGCAGTATTCCACACACTCATGGACCCTGACTTCTGCAAATAAACAGGAAGAAGTGATTTCTAACTCCTCTTTAAGACCAAGCTTGTTTATAATTTAGAAGCATTGTTTTCATTGTTTTGTGGTTGTGCTTTCTGCTTACATTGCTGTCTCATTATGTATGTTATTTTCCTGGCTCTGCTTACTTCAATTTGAACCATTTCCTGAAAGTCTTTTCATGTTTCTCTGTATTCATCATGCTTGCCATTTCTTAAAACAAAGTAATATCCCCTTATATTCACATAGTTTGTTTAGCCATTCCCAATCAATGATCGATGAGCATTTACTTTGTTCCTTATGACCACAAAAAATGCTATAAATATTTTTATGTATATGGAGCTTTTCTGTCAATGACTTCGTTTCCTCCTACATTTTCTAACTCTTCCTTCTATGGCTTCCCATCCTTTCCCTGATCCCTCAATGCACATATTCTCCAAGAATCAGCCCTGTGACCTATGTTCTGCTATTTTTACAGTCTCTTGAAAATTTCATTTATTCTCATGGCTTTAGCTATCACATCATAGCTTACTGCTTCTCCATGTTGACTCTTCTTTTAAACATTGTTTTAGTCTGTGTATTACTCTTTTCAAAAAATTGTTGATGGGTTCCTTATGTGTGCCCCTCCTTTTCTTTCTCATGAGTTATATTTTCAGAATTTCATTTAGGAGTTATACATCCCTTTGAGGCTGACTTTCCAACATACAGTGTTTTAGGTCAGAGGATCCTACCTCTCCTTTGAGCCCTTCCAATCCACTCACCTAAAACCTATGCATCAGTTTATGCCCATTTTTCTTATCTTCTATTAAATTCTAAATTAGAATGGTTACTTCTCCCAAAAGTTCCCAACATTTCTGCTTGAGGAACAAGTTCCTTCTTCCTGGTCATAATCAAGTCCAAAATAAGAGTTTCCATTGTTGCTTACTGCCATTGGAAGAATGAAATTATCATTACAGCAAGCCAAGAACTTAGCAGATGTTCAGCTAATAAGATAGTCAGATAATTGAAATCCTCCATTATTACTAGGCCATTCCTTCATGCCATGTAAAGAATGGCTCCAGAAGCTGGCACACTGCCTTGCAGGTAATAGGCACTTATTATTTGTTGAAATGTTATTTCCCAAATTGTCCATCTTCTGGCCAGATTCCTAAAAATGCCTTTCCACTCTCCCCCAACCTGATTTTCTAGGTGCCCCATAATCTGCCTCTTTTCTAGGTTTCAATGTACTTCTTAACATATTCCCTCTAGCTCTGACAAGAAACTCTACTGGCCACTTCCTAGAACCATCTCTCAGTGATTCCGCTAAACCACGGCTTGGCAAACTATGACCCATGGACCAAATGCAGCCCCCTGCCTGTTTCTGTGTAGCCCATGACATAGTTTTATTGTTTCTTAAAACATAAAAACCATTCTTAGCTTGCCAGTTATTCAAAAATAGGTAGCAGACTGGATTTGGCCCTTGTGCCAATTTGCCAACTCCCATTTTAAACCATAGCCATGAGTGCCCTTCCACTTTGTCCACCCATCCATGCTTGTCATTCTTTCCACACCCTACTCAAATTCCTCTATACGGGGGAGTCTTCCCTAATGACCCCCTCCCTTCTCCCAGACTTGTGATATACTTAGGGATGATCGGGTGGTTGTAAATGATTCAAAGAGTCTTTATTGAGCTCTTAATACAAGTTTGATTTCATGCCTAGTTACAGAATAAGAAATACATAAACAATACATTCAACAATGGTTTAAACACCCAATATGTGCTTTGCAAGGCACTGTGCTAGGCAATCATGAGATAAGAATGAAAACAGGGTCCTTGAATTCAGAGAGCTCAACAGTAGAAAAGACATGTATGCACACAAGGGTGATAGTACATGCCCTGTTTTAAATTATAAACTTCAATATTTTCTAATGAAGAAGCAACCCAAATATGGAGATTTCCAAATAAAACTCTACTGTTTTAAAGTATCTGCATTTCAATTAAAAAGAACGATAATATATTTTGTTCTGAATGTACTTCTAAAGCTTCATTGCCTTTTAGTCAATGTTCTTATTCTGTCTTCTCTTTGCATATTTCTTATCCACAATTTCTCATATTCTTATTTGACAGGTGGTATGGCCTAGTGGAATCAACTTCTGAGTCTGAAGACCTGTGTTTAAGATTTGCCTCTGATATATACTGCCAGTGTGATCCTGGGCAAGCATGTCACTTAATCTTAGTGGCACTAAAACTGTAAGTTATAGAGAAGGTACTCGTGCACTGGTAGAGGAAATTTTTGCATCCAGGAATTCCCCTCACCAATGAAATCCCAGGTCCATTACCTATCCTATTACAGTGTTGATGGTACCATAATACACCACTGATTGCTCATCAACAAGAGATACGGAGATATTGACTAAAATTGTGATTTCACTGGTAGATGGCATTCCTGGATGAAGAAACTCCTTCCATCAAGACTGGGACCTTCTCTGCAACTTAATGTCATAGACAACTGCTCAAGCACTGAGAGGTTTGGCAACTTGCCCAGGAGTCCCCAGTCAATACATTTTAGAGGCAGAGGCTAGCTCTCTATTATGCCATGCTACTTTTCATCTTTAAATCTTAATTTATGCAGATATTCCCAAATGAGTTGTTCCTATTCTTCAAACAGCACATATCTGTAACTTTCATCATAACCTTGTGAGGTAGTATAGTGCAAGTATTATCTAGTTTTAAAGAGAATAGTTCAGAAAGGTTCAGTGAGACTTAACAATTGGCCACACAGCTAGTTAAGGACGGGAAGTCCAAACCCAAGTCTGGTGGTACAATGTAAAAGTACCAAGAAAGGGACAAAGGGCTGTATTTAAGACATCAACTAAAAGAAACAAGGAGTTTCTTGGTCATATTTATATTGGTTCTTGAGGAGTGGGTAAGGACATTCCTAGTAGAGGGGATGGCATGTGCAGTCTTAGAGCCAAGAAAACCTAAGGCATACCGCCCCTGCACATGGCTATGGTATGGGTTTAAGTGAAGAGAAGCAATGAAGACAAGGCTAGGAAGACAGGTTGGGGACAAGTCACGGAGGGTTTTGAATACCAGGTTGGTTGGACTTTAATCAGCAAATAATGGGGAGCCATGAAATATTTTTCATGCAGGGCCAGTTTGACATTAGCAGCCTTAATTATCATTTAGTAAGATTATTTTGACAGTTATGTGGATGGATTAACAAGGTAAGAAGGTATAGAAAGATCATTTAGGAGGCTGATATCACAGATTAGGAGAAAGGTGATGAGTGCCTTAACTAGAGTGCTAGTATCAGAACTAGAAATGGGGTGGTTGCAAGAGATATTGCATAAAGACAGACAAGCCTTGCAAACTGATTGGTTTGGTCTCAGAAAGGGAAAAACCAGTAAAAAAGGACTCAAGAGGCAAACCTCAATATCTAAAGGACAATAGTTGCAACTATAGAAACAGGAAAATTTTAAGTTAGGTTTGGGGAAAACATTAAGTTTAGTTTTGGCAATGTTCACTTTTAGGTGAAAGAGTATAAATGGGGGTGGGGGAAGGAGAAGTTATCTAATACTTCAAAGGTCAAAGAGGAAGAAAGAGAAGGGACTAATTAGATTTGGCTATAAGACAGTCATTTGTGACCACAAGAAAAATGTTTCAGTATAGTGCTGGGGTTACAAGCCAGATTTCAGGGCATCAAAGAATGTGCTGAGAAAGTGGAATGTTCAGAAAGTTTAGCATAGACCTAGGGGTTTGGCAGTGAAGACAGAGAACAACAATTGAAGACAGTAGCAGGGTCCAGGGAAAGATTTTGTTTTTTAGGATAAGAAGATTAAGGGTCAGAGAAGCAAGGGAGAAAATGTTTGTATGGGAAAGAATACAAAGAAGAGGGATGATAGGTGAATCAAGGTCTTAGAGGAGAGGTCAGGGAACAGAATTTAAGATATAAGTAGAGGGATTTAGCAAGGAAATTAGCCACTAAGAAACAAACAAAAGATGCCTAAGGAAGCTTCTCCGACAGTCTGAGGCATCCTAGATCCAATATCCAATACTTTGAGACAGTATATTTCTCTCTATCCTAGACCCCTGTCCAGGAGAGGGATAAGAAGTCTCAACCAATCCCTACCCTGCTCCCCCTAAAGCAAGCACACACAATCCATGGAAACTTATAAGGACTTTACTGCTGACAGGCAGGGTCAGATAAGGGGAAAGGTATAGTTAGGGATGTTTCCAGACTCATAGAAATGCCATCCCTGGGTTTCAGTGGCAGGGGTAGGATTAGTTGCCATGAACTAATAATTTCCTCTCTTGCCTTCTAACCCTTCTGAGGATCCAGGCAGTCCCCTTTTTCTGCTCAGTCATCTTTGGTTCTAGCCCCTTGTACTATTTCCTTTGGAATCTGAAGGGTATCCCTGGCCCACTCTTCCTCTGCCTGGACACCCCTTGCGGGAGATAATGGGCCCCTGGTATGATGACATAAGGGCATTTGGTATGCAACAGCAGAGATAGGACTGACACAGAATAGCTCCAGAAAGCCCCTTAGGTAGCCTAAATCATACTATACACTTTCCAGATATCAGAAAGCCCTATATTTGAGCTTTCCATCCCAAGGTGGTAGGTGAACAGGAATCCCCTAGCTTCCTGGGCTTGGAGCCCCATGCTGGCCAGTCGTGGGACTTGATGGAGATCCAGCTGTCTCTGCCAGTGCTGCAGTGGCCTCATAGTCTGCAATGCGCCGCTGTACCAGGGCAGGCATCAGCTGTACATAGGCAGCCATTAGGCGGTGATTGGAGTGGACTAGCTTTCCCGCACAGCTGTCCAGGCAAGCCTCCTAGAAGGGAGAAAAAAGGATGGTGTCAGTCTCTCTCCTCCCCAAGAGTAAACAACCTTCCCTTCCACAGTTACAGTTTTTCCTCTTCAGTCCAGAGGTGCACTCTCCACCTCCCTGCAGAGAACATCTTACACACCTCTTCTGCATCCAGGGCTCGATGGTGCAAGCTGGGCACACAGCGTTGGAAGCAGAGTTCTGTCATCCGGTTGTACACCAACAAGAAGTCCCGAAGCTGGGGGCAAAGAGAAGAGCTCAGATTAAGAGTGATGAGGTCCATGGGGAGAGAGACTCTCTACAGAAGAGGCTTAGATAATCAGAACTGGAAGTGACATTAAATATTACATCGTTAACTCCCAGCCTTTTGTAGAACAGGCTCAGGAAGACGAGTGACCTGCTTGGGGTTAAAAAGCGAATCAATCAGAGAACCAAAACAAGAGCCCAAGTCTTTCGCCACCAGAATAAGAGCCCAAGTCTTTTAACTCCAAACCCAGAGCTCCTTCCAAAGCATCGATAAGGATAAGGCTGAGGAAGGGACCTGAGGCTGCAGAGCAATGTGCAGATACACGAGCGTGACAGCAAGCAGTAATCAGGAGGTGGGGCTGGGCACCTCCTTTCCCATCCAGCTTCCGAGAGGGAGAAGTCCAGAGCATTCAGGGTCCCTGCCCTTTAAGCATTCTCCTGAGGGAGTCCCCTTGTCCGTCCTGGGCCATCCAAACCTCTCCATTTCAACTTCAGACCGTGCCTCCGGATCCCGGGACTAGGATGCACCGGGACTAAGGGCGCATGCTCCGAAGTCAGCCCCACAGCCTGACCTCTCCTAACACACCGGGTCTCTCTCCTCCCTTTCTCCCAGACCGTGCGTGGCTCCTGAGGCTCCGGCGGCCCGCGGGGCAGGAGCTAGGGATCCGCCAGGCCGAAGAGAACCGTTCGCCGCCAGACTCACGTTTCTCAGCTGCTGCTGTTGCTGCTGCACCTGCTGCTGCTGCTGCTGCTGCTGCTGCTGCTGACTCCATGGCCCCACAGGGCGCAGGCCCCTCACGTCACTTCCAAAACCGCACGCCGCCTTCCTCAGCCTACGGCGCTGCGCGGCGTGTCCCGGTTCGTGACGTCACTTCCGCCCTAGCGGCAGGCAACGCGGCTGGCTTCATTTGCCAGGCGGGAAACGTCATTTCCGCCGTGTCCCTGACCTGCTGCGAGGAGCGCGAAGGGAACCGGAGCCCGAGGTCCCAGGACGGCCCCGGGCCCGGCGCCCCGAGGGCAGGGCAGGGACAGGCGAGGCTGCCGGGAGAGAGGAAAGGAAGCAAAGGGAGCGTGGCCCAGCCAGAGGTGAGGGAGCTGGGCGACACACACCTGAGCCCTGGGGGGAAGGGGGAGGGAGGAGGAAAGCATACACCTGAGTCAATGGGGGGAAGGAGGGTTCAGCTGCGTCCCCCTGAGCTCGGTGAAGAAGGGGACTCAGCTGAGCCCTGGGGAGAGGGAGGAGAGGGGACCCAGCTGAGCTTAGGGCTTAAGAGGGGAGGAGGGGCACCCAGCTAAACCCAGGGTTTAAGGGGGGAGGAGGGGCACCCACTGGAGACAGATGGGGGAGGAGGGACATCGAGTTCGGCCAAGGGGAGAGAAGGGACACCTACCCAAATCCAGGGCAGAATGCTCCTGAAGGATGAATGCACCTGAGTCCTGTGAGGAACTCCTGTGTCAGTGGGAAACACAATATGTTTTCTAAGAACAAATGTCCTTACCCCAACTTTTGCTTTCCCCAGCCATGACTGACGGGATCCTGGGGAAAGCGGCCACCATGGAGATCCCCATCCACGGCAATGGCGAGGCTGGACGGCTTCCTGAAGATGATGGGCTTGAGCAGGTGGGTGTCTGTTTGCTTCAAGCATCCCACTGGTCTCATATCCCTGGTGCAGCTAACCATGCTCTGACCTCCTTATCCAAGAGCCCTTAAACTTTTTCCTGTTCTCTGACTTACTTACTCTATGTTCCATTAATATCCTCACTACTCTTGAATTTCCTGGTGCCCCCATACCATCCCTTGATCTCCCTAAACCTCACATTCATGGTCATACCATCTCTGGATTCCCCATTATGCTCTGATAACTCCTTTGAATACCCAGACTCCCAACCCATCGTCTACTCTTTCTTGTCCCCGAACCTCTAACTATACCCTAGCCTTACCGAGTCTTTGACCTCCCAGTCCCCCTTTCTGCCACCCTAAAGTTACTCCAAACTAGATTCACTTTCTATTCTCTGAATTCTCCAGGCTTCCCCTGTGGGTCCTCCATTCCTCATCTCTGTGTCTCTTCCTCATTATTTCCCTTCTCCACTCTCACTTGGCCCATCATAGGACCTGCAGCAGGTGATGGTGTCTGGACCAAATCTCAATGAAACGAGCATTGTGTCAGGAGGCTATGGGGGCTCAGCTGATGGTCTTATCCCCACAGGTATGAGGCAGAGGGCCTGAGGAATTATTGGGAGTGAATATCTGAGGAATTATTGGGTGGAGGGACAAAGGAGGGGGTAGAGACAGAAATGGTTATCATGCGGATCACAGAATTTTATCCTTTAGGGCCTGGCCGTCAGCAGCCCCACAGTGCAACCCCTGCCGGCCCTGGTGACGAGGTGGCCCGGGGCATTGCTGGGGAGAAGTTTGACATTGTCAAGAAGTGGGGCATCAACACCTACAAGGTGGGGCTTGTGTCCCCTCAGCCCTCTGTCCCATGGGTTCTCCCATATCCTACACCTTGTTAATGCCCTCCCTCTTCTCATGGTCCCTGAATCCCATCCCATCCCTTCCTTCCCTGCCTTTGCTCATCCAGGGGCTCATAGTCACTGAAACTTGGGGGGGGGCAGGTATTTCCATTTTCTGGGGGGCTCTTGTCTATGGGAGAGCCCTCTGACTGCCTGGGACCTGGGGCTTGCTCAGTGTACGAAGCAGCTGCTGTCCGAGCGATTTGGCCGGGGATCACGCACCGTGGACCTAGAGTTGGAGCTGCAGATCGAGCTGCTACGGGACACAAAGCGCAAGTATGAGAGTATTCTTCAGTTGGGCCGGGCACTCACTGCTCACCTCTATAGCCTGCTGCAGACTCAGCATGCCCTGGGTGATGCCTTCGCTGACCTCAGCCAGAAGTCCCCCCGAGCTCCAGGTGTGTGCATCTATCTCCCTTCCACTTTGAGGGCAACAGGGGGCCAGGGACAAGCCATGACCTTTGGGCCCCTGTGTTCATCCAACCCACAGGAGGAATTTGGTTATAATGCAGAGACACAGAAGTTGCTGTGTAAGAATGGGGAGACTCTGTTGGGGGCTGTCAACTTCTTTGTGTCCAGCATCAACACCCTGGTCACCAAAACCATGGAGGACACTCTTATGACTGTCAAGCAATATGAGGCTGCCAGGTAGGACTGAATGAGCCAGAAAGCTGTAGTGCGGAGTGAGTAAGGGGCTCAAGGTTAGGAGGCCTTAGGCCTTACTTCCCATGTTTTATTCATACACGACTCTCTCCATTCCCCCAGATTGGAGTATGATGCATACCGCACAGACTTAGAGGAACTGAGCTTGGGTCCACGGGATGCTGGGACCCTGGGCCGACTTGAAAGCGCCCAGGCCACGTTCCAGACACATCGTGAGAAGTATGAGAAACTTCGTGGGGACGTGGCTATCAAGCTCAAATTTCTGGAGGAGAACAAGGTGCTAAACCATCCCCCTCACCCCTACCCCCTAACTCCTCTCAATGTTTTTCTCTTCCCACCTCCTCCCAACTGACCCCCATCCATGCCCCCAGATCAAGGTGATGCACAAGCAGCTGCTGCTTTTCCACAATGCCGTGTCCGCTTACTTCGCTGGGAACCAGCAGCAACTTGAGCAGACCCTGCAGCAGTTCAACATCAAGCTTCGGCCCCCAGGCTCTGAGAAACCCTCCTGGCTAGAGGAGCAGTGAGATGGCCTGGCCCTCCGCTCCCAAGAAGCGCTCCTGGCTACAGGAGCAGTGAGGCCTGCCCCCTTGGATTGGCTCCTGTCCCCTAGAAGCCCTCCTAGCTGGAGGATCAGTGAACCTCCTCCCTAGGAAGGGCTGCGGGGAGCAGGAATAAGTGCCCTCCTCTCCACCAAGCCCACTAGGGGAGCAGAGAGAAGCAGTTTTTGGTAGGGAAGAGACTGGGACAGGGAAAGCAAGAATGTGCACTTCCCCTTTCCCCTCGTCCTTCCTTGCCCAGGATCTCCCTCCTAGGACCTTAGCTTCTTGTGGGTGGTAAAGGGAGGCACACCCCAGGAGAGGGGACCAGGTAGGGCAACTACTGGGCCCGGTGCAGCAGTACTTAGTTCTGATGTCTACGGCCCTGCTCCTCTGTCAGCTAGTTTGGCCTCACTTTCCAGATCTTTTCCCACTACCCCTCAGACAATGGTGGTTTTCCCTAAGGGCCCTCTTCCCAACCAATGGCATTATTCCCAGGGTTCTCCCGTAAGCCAATGATATCACTCCTGGGTCTTTTCCTTGGCCGATAACAGGTCTCCTGGGACCCTACCCTGAGCTGGCATTGCTCGGGGATCCTTTAGCCAATGACATTGCCCTCAGTGTCCTCCCTCCACTCCCTCCATTACTGTTGGTGGAAGGGGGAGAGGGGAGGGTCTTAGGACCAAAGGGTAGCAGACTGGGGAGGTATGGAGCAAGGACTAGGGGTGCCGTGCTGTCTGTCCCAGCATCTGCCTGTCTCTTTCTATGCCCTGGAGCCAGGGTGGTGTTTCTCCTAATTTAATTGTGGGTGGGACTCTGGGGTGCCTGTCCAGTCTGTAGAAACTGTCACACCAGCCCTAGGGTGGCCTGGGAGCCTGGGACCAGAAATAAACCTTTCATAAAACCTGGCCCGGGCCTGTTTGTTGGGGGTAAGGGGTCTGGGAGGATGACACATAGAGCACAGGCTTTCTGATACAAATCTTCATAAATGTAGATTGCTCTAGGTTTGGGTCTGAGCTTATTGCACTTACACTCTAGAGGACTCCATCCTTCCACTGATGCAATCCCTAGGCATTGTGGACCCAAACTTCCTTTGGTTATACTCAGATCCAGGAATGCCCCGTCTCTTCACATTCTGACTGCCACCGCCACCACTTGTTTCTCCTTGGAAATTGTTATCTTCAGCCCAGCCGTGCTTCTGGCTTCTCTCCATTCTCTGTTGCCTGTGAGACCAGCACAAGAAAAGGCCCTTTGGGGCTTCCAAAGGGAAGGTTGTTAGTGACTCCAGGGAAACAGACAGATGGGAAAAGCTCGCATTGCAAACTGAATCAAAGTAATGCAGATCCATTGTGGATCAGAGTTCTAAACCTAACTTCCTGCTTCTTGGTGCTTTCCTTTTGGTGTTCTGTGCTCCTCCATCTAAGCCTTATATTAACTATCTAAATGACACCTGCTGCTTTCCCCTTCTGTTCAGAACTAAAAGGAATTGGTTTGCTAGGTGTCACAAACAAGTCACATAGACCAGGGGGCAGCAATGTCATTGGCATCACACACCAGACAGCTTGTTTTCTCCAGTTACCCTGGTTTCTTAGACTTTGGCAGGTCATTATCTCTTCCAATTTAAAGCAAACAACAATGTTTATTTTTTAATATTCCCTTCCCCTTGAGTCAGTAAAATGCCTTGAGCAGTTCCTGGATTGTACTGCAATTGATAGATCTGTGAATACCTTGTATAAGTATTTTGAATTGCAGTTTCTACACCAACTTTTATAATTAAGAGTTTGAATTCTTTAAGGTAATAAACATAATTAGAACAGTGTTTCCTAATGAATTATATTTTAAAGAATCAAGAACTCCTAAACACTTACAGGAGCCCTAGGTATCTAATCTACTTTATTGGCCTAAAGATTAGTCATGAAAGGTCATTGTGCTGCGCTAGGGTTTAAAGCAAACAACCAGCCAGTTTCAGAAGTAAGTATACCTGCTTCAATCCCTGGGATTTCCTCCCTTCCCTTCCCTCCCATTAGCAGTGGTCAGATTTATTACAAAGGGAGGCTTATGTTCTCCAGTTTGTAGTGTCAGCCTAACCACACTACTGCAGGTATTACAGTGACACTGAGTTTCACAGGCTGACTTTTTGAACTGCTTATACACTTATCCCAGCTGTATCCCCAGAGTTAGATGTGCCCTTAAACAATGTGAGTCTTAGGCATGAAGGCAGAAATTCATAGAGTAGTATTTTAAATTTGGAAGAGACAAGATGTGAACTACTCCAGTTTCTTCTTCATGCAGATATCTTAGGACGTCTCATCCGGTCCCATCATCTAAATTATAAAAGACTACCAAGATTGAGTTGTGTGAGACATCCTCCAAAAATGACTTTCTAGCTTCCACTTATAACCAATGACAAAGAACCCACCAACTCCAAAAGCAACTTGTTTCTTTGGGTCATTCCAGGAGATCTTATGTTGAGCCCAAATCTGCCTTCCGGTAGTTTCCATCTGTTGGTCCTAATTCTGTGTCTAGCATTATACTTAGTAAATAATCCTCTCCCATATGACAATCTTTCAAATAATTGTGGACAGCAACACAACTTCTGTTGTAGTTAAGTCCCTTTGCTACTCTGCCTTGATGGATGTGTTCATGCTTGGCAATGTCTTTTATACAATATAGTAGTACCAAGAGCTGCACAACTCCAGTTATGTTCTGGCTAGGACAGAAGGGATTGGTATCGTCACCATCTTCACTCCTGACACTGTAATCACCTAATACAACTTCAGTTTTTTGACAGCAACGTACTGCTGACAC